TTCTTTTTCTTCTTTTGCCAAAGTGCAACGGTGTATTTATATTTTCCTTTTATGTGTCCTTTTGATTGAGCCCGTCAGCATGGATACGGACGTGAGGGAGGGGGGGGGGGGGAGAGAGAGAGAGAGAGAGAGAGAGAGAGAGAGAGAGAGAGAGAGAGAGAGAGAGAGAGAGATGGTGGAAACTGAGGCAAAATATTTGATCGTGCAATGTTTTTTTTTTGCTTTTTCATGATGATAATGAATTTATATTCTTTCCCCCGCGATTTTGGGGGGAAGGCCATTCTGGCGTGCGGAAAAACATGCCGCATCGGCATGCCCTGGCACTCTCCTGTGTACGTGTGGCATCGACACACAACATGGCTCCAAGGATTTTGGCGACAGCTGTGGACACGTTCCTGTACTTTGCAGTTCCAATGATACATTCCTGTACATTTTCTCCAACCGGTCACAAATTTTTCGCTCTTCGCCACAGACAATCATGCATTGTATTTTACAAACAATCAGCGACATGGTTCCTGTCTGTCCTATTTTTCTCTCTTCACATCCTCTATGTTGTCTTCTGTGGCCTCTCATGCATTTTTCTCTCTTCCCTGTCTATGGCACCCTCGATGCTTTCCCGCGCAATCATTGATGCAGCGTAGCTGCAGCGGGTCAGCTTGTAACATATAACAAATATATACATCGTCAAACAGAACTGCCCAGTAAACCATCAGCAGAGAGGGAGAAGAGGACAACAAACAACGGGCTGTGACAAACTGGTTCGTCGAAGTTTCACTGACTCGTCAGGAGGCTGTATATATATATTGTCACACTCTGAATCGGAGCGCAAAGGCGGAAAAAAGCAAAACAAGTAAACGAAAAGAAGGAAGGAAGGGAAGCCCCACCTGTTCATCACCTCTTACGTACAAGGCCAGCCACGTGGATGACAGGTTGAGCGCTGGCTGCCCCCATCCCCTGTGTCACAAGGACCCACTTGCACGCAGCCAAAAGGCAAAGAGGTAAAGAAAAGGAGGAGGAAACCAAACCTCACAGAGGCAAATTTTTTCTTTTTTTCTTTTTTCCTTTTTTCCTTTTCATTTTTCCAAGTATCAAAAGCTTCATATGTCCTAAAATCAGTGTTGCTCCCGACCTGCTTGATTCTTTAGAGACCAGTTAGGAAGAGCACCAGAGCTGCCCAGTAAACCATAGGCAGAGAGTAAGAAGAGGACAACAAACGAGAGGCTGTGACAAACTGTTTCGTCAGAGTTTCACCGACTCATCAGAAGGCTGAACCCTCAACAGTCTGCAGAATCCCCTCACTGATTACACTAAGTGATAATCCACCTTAACTCGGCTGTGGTTAAGCATCAACGACTGCTCGACAACTGACACCCTGAGGTGGGCACCAACCACTGCCCTCAAGGTACCTGTGACGAAAATAAAAAACTCTACAGACTGTCGGTTCACACGCCATCACAAGCAACCAAAACACCCACGAAACAAAGAAAGGTCTGCCACAGCCAAAAAATACACTCCAGACACGCCGCTGGCATATATAAACCGTAGGCAGAGAGGGAGAGGAGGACAACAAACGAGGGCCTGTGACAGACTGTTTCATCGGAGTTTCATATATTATATTATATATATATATATACATACACAGAGAGAGAGAGAGAGAGAGAGAGAGAGAGAGAGAGAGAGAGAGAGAGAGAGAGAGAGAGAGAGAGAATATAAGATCTGAACTATACATCACAATTGTTTACCACAATGAATGGAGCAGTTAGAATGTGCACACTTAGATGGCACCTTGCATATATTTAATTTATACAATCCAGCAGCTGTGATCAACTTGAAAAGGCAATCAGAGACTACTATCAGAAGAATGAACCGAACAACTCGATTGCAAGAACAGTATGGTGGTATCCAGTCTTGGACAGTAGCTCACTTCATACGAGGCCACCCCTGAGCTTATGAGGTCAACCCCCAAGTGCAGCTCCAAATACCAGCCAAGGCAA